TTTCCGCGACAGAAAAAGTTGTAGAACATCGAAGAAAGTTCGAGAAAAAGCGTAACTGAGCTAGAGTAAATGCACAGAGCAAACTTGTGAATTGCTGGGTTGATCCTGAAGATGATACCTATCGACATAGAATACAAAGAACGATTTTATTGAAAAATTCTAGCATTGAAACACATTCGCTCTTGAAAAGCCTTTTTTTCTGACAGAAACATTGATCCAATATGAATCGATCGATCACAGGAACACAAAGAAATACATTTTTTACCTCCGTATAATAAAACCAAGAATACGCATTTTGGAACATTTTTTATCCAAGGAATTGAAACAACTCCTTAAAATGTAAGAGTGTGTCGAGCAAACCTGTCTGAGTGAGGCATCATGGCCAAATGACGCCCATCCTGGCTACAGATAGCTGCCACCGCGTCCTCGGAGCCATTCGGATTCCATGGGTACATCATACTTGGGTGGCCGTCTCCGTCCACATAGCGAACCGCAATCTGCCCGGAATTTCGTAAAGTCTCAAAGACGTTAGCGTTACGGTAGGTGAAACGACCTGAAGTATTTCGATTGCATAAGAGCTGGGAACACCTAAGGAGATGTTGGAACACTTGCCTTCACCATGAGAGCTCCACAAACCCAGCACCGCTCCTTCCATCCCTCGAAGCCAGATTGATGTGGAGTGCTCAACCCTGACCGGACCAAAGACGGATTCGAATCGACCACAGCGATTTTCGGCAAGGAACACCGATGGCGAGTCTTCTAAAGCGGAGCTGATTGAATAGAAAATCGCGCCTATTGAGAACGCTTGCAAAATCAACGCACCAATGGATTGTTTATGGTCCCTAGGATAGAGGCTAAAGATTATGGGAAAACCCTCTCAGTGCGGTAGGTTCGTGAACTCCAGGAGAACAATCCCAGTTTAGGCTGAACCTGGGGTATTTTGTGTAACAGTTCAGGAAAATTTTGCAAAACAGGTGAGACTTAACGCACCAGCCATTGTTTGTGTCTTTTACTACATAGAAAATATAACAAATTTTTTGCTCCGCCTCCAGTGCTCATAAATGGAATGGTATACGACAGGAGGCCCGTGGTCCGGCGATAACTCAGAGACGCAGAAGGGTTAGTGGGCGAGTTACAGCGCGTACTGTAGCAATTTGGCGTCAAGTCAAATAGAATGTATTATAGTACATCTCACATCGCACAGTACGCGCTGCCACTCGTCCGCTGATCCATTTGCGTTTCCGCCTTCTCGCCACGCGACGGGGGCATTCTCTCGGGTACCCTAAGTAGGAGCCTCACCGAGTACAAGGAGAGATGGTGCGCATAATTCCGACCTTTTCGGCACATCTTCACCTCATCCGTAGCGGTCATGTATTCGCGGTTACCGTGGCTTAGATAGCTTTCATGGCACTCCGCTCTGGGAGCCTGCCTGGCACCAACCTATCGACCAGTCTCAATAGTCGTCAAAAAAAAACTTTTTGAGAGGTAGTAGCAAATGTGTTGACAGAGAATTGCTTTGGGAGGGCTGGAGGACTCCTTCCAAGAAGAAGCTATCCAAATATATTCGAGCAAATATTCGGAAAACGAGTTGTTTTCTTATATTTCCTCCGCCTATCTTTAGAGAAGCAGTAATAACTGAAAGAGAGGAGGAAGGTAAGTAATGGGAGGAAACCTAGGTGGCATTGAGAGGAGGGGTGGGGCGCCCTTAGCTCTAAAATCTGGAATGACCCTGAAGGCATTTCTTTCATTACAAACCTACCGTATTCGCCTATCCATCCCAGATGGGCCATCAGCTGACAGCCGTTGCACACACCAAACGAGAGAGTGTCGGTCCTATTACGAAAACGTGTGAACTCCAGGCGAACCGAAGGATTATAGCGAATCGCCGCTGCCCAGCCTTAAAAGAGTCACCTCATATAAAGAAAAATCAAAAAAAGCTGTTGAAATAAATGCTCCAGCGAATTAAAAACGAAGTTTAAGCCGCCAAAATACAACAATTTGGCAAGAATGCTGGGTTGTGAACAAAACTTTCGCCCCAGGCGGGACTAGAACCCGCACCTCTCGTTCAAAAAATCAACTTGTTGTTGACAATCAAAAACAGGTCAACAACAATTTGATCTTTTTGAACGAATA